AAGCCACTCAACTCAACACGAAGGCTTATCCATGCGAATCCAGGAACGGATACAGCATTGACAAAGTAATGAATTCCATATGTGATTGAATATTATTCTGAGGTAATTCAAGCTGACACTCTGAAGCTCTCCTCTCTCTTATGTAGTGCCTGGAGAATTGCCAATTGAAGGGGATCATCAAAATGAAACGAATAGATTGCCGGCTGCCGTCAATGAATCTGTCCTTGCCAGAGTGCGAAAACATGACTGAAATCTTGGATTTAGCCTTCTTTTTGGGAATTGGTATGTTCTGGTATTCTTCAGGCTGCCCCTGCCCGATTCCATATCAACAAATCCGTTACTCGGTGGATGTGCATCGTGCGGAAGAGGCCAAATTTTCCGAAAAGGGCTCCTCTCAGGTCTTTATCTATTTCGTCGAGAAAACAGCCGAGGTCCTAACTGAGAGCCTGGCCTACGACTTAATCCAGATGGTCGGGGAATTCGGGGGGTGTCTCGGTTTGTTCCTCGGCATTTCTTTGGTATCCGTCTACGAAGTCCTGGACCGGTACATTAGATCCGTATTCGTCCGGTTTGCATGCTGTCTCCTCTAGCATTCGCGGACTCATTCTCCTGATGCAGGATTTTTAATTCACTTCAAAAGGAATTTTATGTATTCTAATGAATTATGTGAAACGAAGCTAATTTAATTTTCCATCTTCTTATCTGAATTCACCAACCAATGAAGTAACTAGAAAATGTTGGAGTTTCATTTTCGTCAGGCTGTTGATTTTTGACAATCGCAGAAGCACTAGAGGGCCACGCCCTCCCGTCCACCATGGAGCGGATACAGTTCAAAACTGAGACTGGGAGCAAATTTCGTCCTCAAGCTCTTGCATGCTTGCATGTTTTTAATGTATTCTCTGGCAGGTGAGTGTTTCATTTGGCCGCAGAGTCACCACTAAAATTGCCGTGTCCGCAAGATTTATAATTATTCCGGTGACTTCATAGCGTTTCTCTTTATTATCAAATCTCTCAGGATTCTATACTTGCTATGCTTCCCTCGTGTGAATCAGTCATTAAATAAATACTTGGAAAAGTTATTATTGAAGACGAAGCTGCCTCCACTGTGCCAATGGTGCCCAACCCCGTGAATGTGTCGTTAATAACAATGTAGGAGAGGGTAAGAACCCTGATTTCTTGCCGGTCTCCAGGTGATGTCCAATGAGGCTTAAATCCCTCATAAAGTGTTACTCCTGCCGTTATCAATATGTCCATTAACGTCTTCCCCTTACGAGGACATCTTATTAAGGCTTCCTGGTGTAGCAATATTTTTAAAGCCTACAATTTAAAAACATTCTTGCGATCTTCAATGCAAATCAATGGACAAATATTATAGCTTCTGTTCTACGATGAAGTTCTGAATATTTTTCTTTGAACCATATGCCTTCAAGATATAAATTAATTGCAGTAAAATCTACAAATAGCCACATTGCCGGAGCCCCGGGCAATTTCAATTAATAACCGCATCTAGTCCGCCACTAGTTCTGGTTATTAACTGCAAACTTTTTTCCCGTTCTTGAAAACGATTTTTGCCCGGATTCACATGTTGCAGAGGTAAGTGTCTGCGATAATGAAAAACCACATCGACAAGTCTTGAACTTTTGGAAATTAGGATCGCAGGTTGTTATGACGAAAATGAGCAGATCTCAACTCAATAACAGACATCCTGAAATGGAAATGAGTGAATGAATCGAATGAATACCATCACGCCTTTCACCATGCACGTGCTCCACAAACAAAAGGAGGCGCCTTCAAGTCGATTAAATAAGTAATCGTCCTGGCAATGCATATTTCATCTCTGATAGAAGCATGGACAACCTCTTTGTTCTAGTGAAAAGAGTCGAGTCTCTTATCTTCCGATGGATGGGTTCGCTAATTGTCCATCAAAGAAGACGAACTCCGCATAGAAAGGAGTCGCTAACTTATCTCGAACGGTCCGTTCCCTCAAAGAAGTCATCCCACAAGAACTCATCCAGGCAGACCGCTGGATCATCTCGGATTTCACGATCATACATTTGTAAAGAGGCAATTTTGGCCATTTTGATTGTCAATTATCCCTATGTGGCGAGAGAAAAGGCAAATCTATTGTCATGGTAAGTTGCATTCTTCTTTCGGTCGCAACGATGATGCAAGTTACTTGTTATACTTTTTCTCTGCTACATGAGGAATAAATTTTCAATGTTTGAATTTTCTCCTTTTTGGTCATTTTTCGTGGAGTATTTTTTGTGTCGGAGCACTTACACTATCATGGGAAGTGTCTTCAGGATCGTGAACCCAGAATATTTCCATCCATACATACTTTTGAGTGCTTTTTAGGGAAAACGAGGAAAAAATAATCCAAAGTTGCCAAATTTATCCAAAAGGTTACATTTTTTTGTGGAGCGAATGAACAAAGTCGTGTAATATATCCCTAGAACGGTCGCTCACAGCTTCGTATAATGAGTTTGTTTTGTCGACTAAATTCATGGGCGATCAGAAGCCTCCGATTTTTATCCGACTGATTTGTAACGGGGGTCTGCGCAGGATCCTTCTTTCTCGCATAGCTCTGTTTGTGGCAGTCCCCTGGCTCTGTATTGAAAGAACACATCTCCATTATGGGAGATCTCCGCAAACTGTCTGAAACCAAAATTCACGATCAGGTTCAGTGACTGTATTATCAGAGCCCATGGTCAAGAAAGAGAATGGAAATGTCATGGAGCCCCATCGAGCTTTAATGTTTTGTTCTGTGATTCGAAGAGACCTTTTTAAAAATAATCATTAAGTTTAAAAAAGTTTCAACAATTCATGGAAGCCTTTAGTCAGGTTTCTGCGCGGATCACTTTAAAGTGAGACTTTTGTCGATTAAATAATCGAATTGGGAAAAAGCCAATCGTGTGCTTCTTTCGGTCGGTCATCGATGAAGCAAATCTAGCTTCCACAAAAATAGTGTAAACGTGAAAAGGTAAAATCCTGTGGCCCTGGCGATGATTGACCCCTGACCTATGCTTTCAGCCTCCACCATTAGATGCCGCTAGAATTCCTCGGTTATTGTGAATAATAGGCATATATGAAACTGAAAGTTAAATTTCCAATTCGAAATAAAATAGCCAGAACAAGTTTCAGGTAATTTTTGAGGATTTCATTTCATAAATTGGAAAATGCCTTTAAGGCATTTAAGCCATTTTTACTTCCAATCTGGAATTATTGCTAAGTTAGACACACAAAATCAGATAATTCACCTGAATTAAGCTACCATTTCTCGAAAAATCGTTCCAATGAAAACATTTTGCCCAAAAAAATATTTGTTCTACAATGCAACCAAAATAGATGGCAGAAAATCGTTTCTACCTTCATTTTCGATTCAGAGAAAATCTGGAAATCCTTATCCAATTGATTCAAATGGCATTCCGTATTCCTCATCTTCCCCGAACTTCTTCCCGTACGCACAATAATAGTCACCATTGGGGAGTTTCTTTCAAACACTAACAGTACTTCATAGTCCATTTCCGGGGTCAATGAAAGTGTAGAAGAGAGAGCAGAAAGGAATGCAATAGAAATGCACTTTCATTTCCTTTATTTAGCCTCGTTCGTATACGAACTTTTACGCCAGTCTCGTATATTACTGGTAATCCCCCCGATGTATTGACCTAAATTGATTTGCACATATGGTTCCAAATCCCCTGAAATTTCCCCAAGTGAATCGGGTCTGGAAGTGGGAGCTGATGTTTCAAATGTTTTTTTTCAGCTCTGTAAACGGTATTCGATGCGATTGCTTGGCACAAGCGGCCAAATCAGCCTCGCGGAGGGAGGTCTGCACAGCATTCAAGTTTGTGGCTCTCCTTCGAAAACCCTAAGTCGTAGAGAACTTTGCCTGTTTTAATTTAAAAAATCACCGGGTTCTCATCGGAATTGATTTTTGCAGAGTTGTTTTTAATGAAAGATGATCTTAATCGTTTGGATCCGGAAGCGACATTGAATGACAACGGATTATGTTTTCCCGGACATTTGATGTCCAGGACGAGAAGCGAGCTGCTGATGGCGTTTTCGAAAAGCCGCGACATTTACCTAGCATTTTTCCCTGAATAAAAGTGAATTCCATCAAGCTCCATTCATATCACAATCACAGATACATAATATCGCCTTAACCACTTTTAATACGAAGTCAGAGATGAGCGGTGCCTGCAGGCTTCCCGTTCCATGACAAATCCAAAAGTAGTCATGGCGAGTGGCTTCAAATATTAGAAAATAATTATTGAATCTACGTGTTGTAGCTTTTCCTATGCTTTGTCTGCCCGTCTCAAAGGGACAGTGAGTAACCTCATTCTTCACCCGATAAAAGGACTGGCTTTCATCTAACTTTTCACCCGTGACAGACAGATTGCGTGCGCCTTATCGAATTCCCCGAGCATACAATTCGACAAAGGCCGAGGACGTGCGTCATGTGTTGAAGAATGCATCATTCTTATCATCGCATCTTTCTGTTCGTTGGCACCTACATTTGATGGCGATGCACTTGCAGAGGGAATATTCACCCATGGACGATCTTCATCTAATTTAGATGAAGATCGTCCATGAATGAAATTCGTCTATGAATGAAAGTTTCAAGTTTCTTATAGAACAATGAGAGGTTGGCATTTTTCGCAGCAATTTATAAAGTCGTCAGAAGATTTTCTGAAAATGCCTTGTTAAATTCCTGTGACGACGCGATTTCATGCAAGTTTTTAAAGAGATATTTATTTTTCAAAGGCTAATTCACTCCTCCAAAGTACAGTAGAAGTGCGTTACTGAGCATTTCATGCTCTGTCAATTTATGAATCTAATTTGTCATGTGTTTATTTTGGAATGCCATAGGCTTCGCAGGCATACCCCAATCGACGCCTAAAAAGGCGCATCGGAGGAGAAAGCGAAATTTTCTCTATCACTGCTGCATCGGAAAGATTTAGAGTGGCGACCTGCACAATGCAACGAAGAAGGTCGATGTGATGTCTCAGGGAGAGAAGAGAAAATTCCTAAGTCGCCTGATTGAAGAAAACTTTTCCCAAAGCCGTCAGAGTTTCTCTTACAAAGGAATCTCCCTCTGCACTCTATGTTGCCTCACCCTGTTTAATGTCACTGAAAAGGAGTGGAATAAGCTTCAAAAGAAGAAGCCAGGACTTCTCCTCCGGCGCCAAAGGCGAAAGCCAAAAGAAGAAATTGCTGAAGCATGGTTGAGGAACTTCCTGGATCATGCTGGACAACACTCACCATGCCCTACAAATAAGATATACGTGCAGGGATACACCGCACGAATGATTCATCGTGAAATGGTTCAACAATTGACATCGAAGGGCTGGGATCCAAAGAAAATTCTTCAGTACACATCTTTCACGCTGCTTTTGAAGAAGCTTCGCATTTCTCTCGGGAAGGTTAGAATTACCTGTTCAGCATGACTATTTTAACCTAGAGATTATGCAATACCCAAGTTGTTATATGCTGGAACTCTTGTCCATTGTTTCACTTAACTCACAGCCAAACGCCTTTCTCGGCTGCAATGCATGCAGCGAGTTGAAGAATAGCAGAAACTCTGCCAAAGACGCGAAAGACAAGAAATTGGCGGTGGATCTCCTCACCGAACACCTCAGGATAGCCAAGTAAGTGAATGCTCGGGTCAAACAGAGTTATCTTGTTCTATCGTTATTCATTCGATTTAACGTTTTCATAGGATTGTCATCAGCACCTTGGATTTGGACTCCATGCATGAATATTTATGGAGATTATATTTTGAATTGGAAAGCGAGTAATGAATAGCAGCTGGAGGCATTACAGTACCTGAATCGAATTTACCATAAGAGGTTGCAGCACAACAATCTCGATAGATTCTGGATATAGGACCGGAAATTCTCTTTTTAGGGTTCAACGGGCCAACTACCAAGCTCCTTGCACAAGCTCCTTGCTATGGAAGGTGAGAGCTGGATAACTTTGGTAGTTGATGGGATGGACCAAAGTAAAACCAACGTTTCCAGATTCCGAGTGGAGAACAAGAAGACTGCAGCATTGCCAAAGCTCATCACTCATATCACAGGTAAGGAAGACTCCAATGTATTTTGACTAACTCACGTATGAGGCACCAATATACCTCTGGGGTAGGTATGAATTATTGGCTTCTGAATTGGTCTGCCATTCTAAGTCCTCACATATTTCTCGACATTCATCAAGTTATGATATCCTGCTACCTGAGATGCCCATGAAAAAGCGAGAAACGCGACGAACGTGGGAATGAAACGGTAAATTTTATTTCATAATGAACAAAAAGAGTCAAATAGTCCTGAGAATTGGATTTGACAAAGAAGTACTTCTCAAAGACTAAATTGTCGGTACTGGTGCCAGGATCAGATTTGGCTGCCTTCAGTCCATCGATAACCTGAATCTTCGGCAAATTCTCAGAGTAAACCCGCGAGCAGGTAACGTACATTTGTCCAATTTGTAAATACAGGCTCCAGAAGTAGTAGTCTAACTTGATCGAATGTCTGTCCCTAAGACTTATTTATTGACATACCATGGGCAAGCTCGATAGTGAATCAGCGTCAACAAAAATCGAACGCCATGATGACGTCAGTCCATTGAATCTCTTGGCTGCAAATTAAAGCTTCCACAGGGCGCACCCTGTGATCACCTTTTTTATGTTTGCGTGTTTTGACGCTTGCAACTTTTTAAGATGCGTTCACGATCATACGCGTGCCATCGCTATGGCCGTTCTCAATCGAAAGATTCCAGGAGGGAATTGTGTGGAGGGGGGAATGGACGAAATCTCCTCGTCTCAGTAGAAGAGAGGAATGCGGAGACGTTAATTCCAATTATCAGAGTCTGGGTGCAACCTATGACAACAATTATGATGGATTGCTGAACCGCCTACAACGACATCGCTCAACACCAGGACTGTAAATTATACGCTACAGTTTATACGAAAATCATCTATCTCCCCATGATCGTGCCCGGAGATTCTCCCCTTCAGCTTGCCGCAACTGAGGCTGACAAGACCCTGTCCTTTCAAGCAGTCGTCCAAGTTATAAGATCTAAATGAACAGCAGCCTATAAAATCAGTCACTTGACCCATGCTCAGTGTCTCAGGTTTTGTTTCTCCGCCACAGCAGCAATGGATAGACTGCAGAACATCAGAGCGCTCACTCGGCAACCCCAAAGATATCGTAAATCCCCAAGTTCATATTTCTTTAAACAATAAGATCATTCTCTCATCGTTTGATTCGTCAACAAGGTAATCCCATGCATATGCTGCATTAGCTTAATTCTTGGTTCAATCATCGGATTTTAAATGACAACGCTTTCTAAAGTCGATGAGGAACTATATATCTTGGAATAGTCTCTAGATTACTTTCAATCTCGCTTCAACCCCTTCAAATAATTTTCAAATAAGGCATTTCCCTTTTACCTTTCTTAACGATGCAGCTACCAGGAAGACCATCCTCATAACCCGGGAGACGAGATTTGCCGATTTTATGGCCTGTTACATCTTCGTCGCCGGGAGAGGCGGGAGGCAGCAAGTGATTTCGCGACAGGCTCGGCGAGAGTCCTGTTCACAACACAGGTCGCACCAGCCTCTCTACGTAAGACTCTCTCCATCTTCACTTTTTCTCCAATTCAAAAGAAATAGCCATGATGGACAGACGCTGAAAACTAACGAAATTTACACCCAATCTCGCTTGTCTGGCTCTAACTTGTCTTCACCGTGCATTTTTTCGGTCAGGTCCATCCTTCACCCCATCTGCCGGTGCTCTTGTCCCGGCAGCCAGCAAATTGTCTTTATTACGGCATATCCCTCTCTCTTATACTGCACCTGATTTATTACTTACCTCTTAAGGACTTTTGTTTCTAACGCTTTTCTCTCCTGCATTCTCGCCAATATCCTTCTGCATCAGCACTCTCTCCCCTATATTAACATCTCCCCTTTTTTTTCTGTACGGCACCATGCCGGCGAAAAAGGGGACCCGGAAGAAGACCTCTCCCCCATCTCCTTCCGTTTACTCCAACCCTTCACCTCGCTCCAGGCGTCAGGCTTCTCCTGCCCCCCCTCCTCCTCACACCCCTCCATGTATTCGGAAACACGGTATAAGTTTTGCAAGGTCAATAAAGCATTTATACGCACATACTAAGATCTCCATCCGTGGCGTCGTTATGAGAGAAAGAGTTCTTACCTTCCTCAAGATGTGCAGA